CCCGATCTGGGTCGAACGCCGCCAGCGTGGGCTCTGTAACGAAGATCTCCTTTAGCTTCTCAAAGGCTAACTGCTCTTCAGATCCCCATCAAAAGGGGACGTCACCTATAAGCCTAGTAAGGGGTGCGGCTAGCTGCGCGAAGTTCTTAATGAACCTTTAGTAGAAGTTCGCGAACCCTAGGAACGATCTTACTCCCTTTACTGTCTTTAGTGCCTCCCACTCGCGGATTGCGGCTACCTTGGCTAGATCCATGCTTATCCCTTTACCTGCTTTGATAATGAACCTAAGGTACTTAGTTGTCTTAACTTTAAACTCGCACTTCTTGACGTCCACTTGTAGCCCTGCGGCTTGCAGCTTGCTAAGCACTTTTCGGACGTGCTCTTGGTGCTGGCGCAGATCGCCATCGGTGTAGATTAGTACGTCGTCCAGGTATGCTGAGCAGAAGTCATCTAGGTGTTCTCTCAAGGTCCAGTTAATGTATCGTTGAAAAGTACTTGGGGAGTTCGCCATGCTGAAGGGGGTAACTAGCCACTCAAACAGTCCGAATCTTGTTCGGAAGGCTGTCTTCCACTCATCGCCTAGTGCGACATGGATCTTGTGGAAGGCTGCGATAACGTCCAACTTTGTGAACCATTTGGCCTTGCTTAAGCTGTTAAGTGTCTCTCAGATGAGGGGTAGCGGGTACCGGTCCTTCTTAGTAATTGCGTTCAGAGCTCGATAATCGATGCACAGTCGGAGCCCTCCTCCAGGTTTCTTGGCGAACAATACTAGCGCTGTAGCTGGCGAGCTGCTTACGCGGATGAATCCCTTCTTAAAAAGCGATGTAAGTTCCTTTCTAAGGACTAGGAGCTCTCCGCGCGACATGCTATAGAGGGGTCCCCACGGTGGCTGAGCATCCTTTGGCTCTAGCTTGATCTTGTGGTCCACCCCTGGCCCTCGGTGCGGTGGAAGCTTCTCTGCTTGCTTCGGGTTGAAGAGCTCATAGAACTCCTAGTACTGTGTTAGTAGCAGCGCTCGTACATCTACGGGCTTCTTCGGTTGTAGCGCCTTGTCGATGTCTACAATCGACGCGGCGAAGATCTAAACGCTATTTAGAGCGTTCTTATGTCTACGAACTAAGGCCGCAAACGCTATAGCGTTGACTTAGCTAACTCCTCCTTGTAGGCGTCCTTTAGTTAACCTTACTCAAATGCCCTTTGAGTGGATAAAAATACTCTTCTTAGCAGGAGATACTGATACGTCCCAGTGGTCCATCCATCCCCTGCTAAGGTACACGTCCTTACTAGAGGACAAGTCCATCACGTATGCATAAGCAGTCTCTTCGTACCCATGCATCTTGAACAAGAATTAGGCGACCTCGCTAATCTCTAACAGCTTGCCGTTCACTCCCTTAATTATCCAAGAGGGGATCTGAAAGCGCTCTAGACAGTGGCGGTAAGCGAATCTCTTGCTAATTAGTGCATAGCATAGGCATCCGCAGTCTATAAGCGCGACAGCGTTTGCTACGTTATTTACAATAAGATCTATGGTAATTGGTGGGGGACGCATATGCTTCTGCTAAAACTAATTCCATTCGCTACGTGTCTGCCGATCCATCTTCAGAGGCTCTGGGCCGAGACTCTGGCCCAGAGCTACTCTTTTTCCGAGTCGCTATCGTCTGGGCATTCGATCTGTTTCTGGCGTCTCTGCCCTTCGCTTGGGGGAACGGCTCTCTTAACCTGAGTGGTGTTTGGATAGTTTCTAGCGATGTGGCCTAGTTCGCCGCAGCTATAGCAGTCTAGTGGGGACCGCCTTGGTCTATCCTTCGTTTCCCGTGCCCGATTGGCCTTCGAGGGCTCCCAGTCTATCGCTTCTAGACTAGCATCTCGCTAAGCGACCTTTGGGGGAGCTTGCGCATGACTGTAGGCCGCGTTCCTTCGATTCCTCCCGTGCAACTGGATCTGGTATAGGTCATTGGAAAGCTCGATTGCCTTGTCCATATATTCCTTTAGACTTCCGTTCTTTAGAGTATAGAGCATCAGCTTTTAGAGCTCTTCTCCAAGTCCCTCACTAAACATCTCACAAGCTACTGCTAGGCTAAACTGCTGTTAGGACTCTACGCGAAGCTGGTTGAACTCCAAGACATAGTCGCGTATTGGTCGTCGTCCTTGCTTTAAGTGCTGAAGCTTGTTTAGCGCACGCTGCTGCTAGTGCACGTCTTAGAAGTGAGTATCCATGTGCTCCTATAGGCCGGCCATAGTTCGTTCCTTATTCTCAAGCACCTAGGGAAGAAGGACCTGGTTTGCTTTGCCCTTCGTTTGACTAAGCACGTATTGGACCTTTGCGTCCTCTGTTGGGAACATAGCGTAGTCGTACTCTAGCTTCCCTTCGCACTCAAATTTCTAACCTAGGTAGTTATTACGTGTCCTATTAAAACGCTCTAGGTCGGGAAACTTATTCTTGCGGGCTGCTAGCTTGGCGACTGTTGTTAGTGGTGGTAGAGGAGTGTCGACTCTTGGGGATGACTCCAAACGTCCTTCGGCTT